AACCGTGGCGAGTTTCCATCTACCGCACCCTCCACATGCACCCAAGCCAACGTGGAGGTAAAAAAAAAAAAAAAACTGAGGGGAGAAGGGGGTGGGGGTAGGGGGGGGAGTAAGTAGGGAGAAGGGGGTGGGGGTAGGGGTAGTGGGGGGAGTAAGGTAGGGAGAAGGGGGTGGGGGGGAGTAAGTAGGGAGAAGGGAGACGCAGTGTTTTACGGCATAAATGAACCAGAGGCGAAGACGGCAAAGGAAACATAAAAGGCATCTTCACTGTTTGGTGACGACGCACCGTAGACGCTCATAGTTGCGGTTGCATTGGGAAGAAGCCTGGGCAGTCAACAGGGGGGAGGGGGGGGGGGGGGTGAGAGGCACTTGCAATGCAGCTGCTGGATTATTTTATGTGTTCAACTATTTCCATGGCTCTCTCATTCATTCCTAACAAAACAGAATGGAATGGACGTCAGGTGTGCGCCCTGAAGAGGCAGAACAAGTTTTTAAAAAACGAGACACGGGGGTATGTAACATTTTTTAATTATTTTTTTTCCAGTTCCTTTCTGGATCTGTTGTTGCTGTTGCTTTTTCGTTGCATCTCCTTTTTGAGTGTATCTCTCTCTCTCTCTCTCTCTCTGTGTGTGTGTGTGTGTGTGTGCTTCTTTCCTTCTTTTGGTGGTGCCGCCATCCAAGGGACTAGTCTTTGATGCGTTTTTTTCGAAAGCAAAGAGAAATTCAGCAGTCCAATGCCGCTGTTGACGAAATCACTCTGGGCACTCCCATGGCTGAGCTGCCCGCTGTTGTTTCTCTGAACGTTTTGTCTCCGTTAAGGTCCTCCCAGTCAACATCAGTTGTTGCAGCGGACAGCAACGTCATAGATGCTAGTGCAACCACGACACCAAGAAGGGGAGAAAAGCCCTTGACGCGTCAAAAAAACTTCGCCGCACGGGCGAAGAGTGGTTTTGTAATTGCTTTTGAAAAGGTGTCCCTTGAAGTGGGGCCCTCTTTATTTCGTCGACCACGTTCTCTTCTGCGAGACGTCTCTGGTTATCTCCCTTCTGGCAGTGTGAGTGTTGTGCTGTGCCCCAATGCAAAGTGTTCCCGCAAACTGCTTGAAGTGTTGGTAGGTGTTGAAGAGCGAGCGTCTGGCTCAGTGATGGCAAATGGGCTTCCCGTTGTATCCACTGTGTTTCGTAGGCGTGCCGCCTTCATCACCTCCACGGAGGTGTGTTTGCGAGACGCCACAGTACGTAGCAATCTTCTTTTCTCGGTGCGTATGCGAGTAGAAACACTTGAAGAGGATAGCATTGTGAAGGGTGTGGCTCAAGCTGTGCGTCTGGAGCACTTGCTTGAGGTGAAGGCAGAGAAACTAAGCCCCATGCAGCTGTATCAGCTCACACTGGGCATGGAACTTGTGCGGAACCCAATGCTATTAGCCTTGCATATGCCTACACGGAACCTATCTACTGGGGAGATGCATAGTTTTGTTTCCGTGCTGCGGGGCTTGGCAGGGAGTAGTGGGCGGGTGATTGTCGTGTCTGCGACAGAGCTGTGTCGTGCGCTCTTTGAAATTGTAGACAATATCTTGTTGCTCAGCTCGCAAGGGCACCTGCTCTACTCTGGCCCTAAGGCGGGGGTGGAGGAATTTCTGCGAGAGCAAGGGCAATCGTATATTCAGCGCATGGGCGATGAATCCCTTGGGGAACTGTTAGTAACCCTCGATGAGGGCGGGGACGCAGCACATGTGGCAGGCGCTTTTACAGCTAGCTCTGCCTGCCGTCGAATCCAACGCCATGTCGAAGAACACCGGAAAAACATCGCATCGAATAGTTTTGACCCCGTCTCACGTGCCGCTACGCCGACACCCAATTACTTTCTAAAGTGGTACCTGCTGACCGTGCACACCTGTTGCCGTGCCACGATTGGGCAACGGAGTGTTCTCCTTTTGTGGACCATGTTCTTCTTTTTGTTCTTCCTCCTGGCCTTTCTGATGGCGGGATCCAGCAGCGATCAAAACGCCATGCAGAACAAAAGAGGGGTTGTGTTTTTCCTCGTTTCCTGTTCGATGCAGGTGAATACAATCTTAGTCGACGTGGAGGTGCGAGAGTTTTACTCGGCTGTGCATCTTCGCAACAATAATTACTTTGACACTCTACAGTATTTTACGGCAACGGTAGTTCGTCTCGTTCTTACCCGGGCTGTGTTTGTGATTATCGCGGCCAGTTGCACGGCCTTCATATTGGAATCCAGCCTTTCATTGGCTCTAACAATGGGACTCACGAGTCTTGCCCATGCCTCCCTAACGTTACTGCTCGTGTATTGGCATCCTGTTGAGCAGGACGTATGGCTTATTGAAAATATCTATTACGTTTACTGTATCATACTGAGCGGTTTCCTTATTTGTCTTCCGAGTGTGCCGGAGTTTTTTTCCGCCCTCTCTTTGCTGCGGTACGGCTACGGCGGTGTGGTGGCATCGGAACTACGCGGTAACCCGTATTCGTGTGACACCGAAGGGCGTCATTCGTATTGCTACACGGGGGATCAGTACTTGGCGATGGAGGGATTTTCCCACGACAGCTGGGGGAAGTCGTCGCTGATTCTGTTCATCATCACGCTGGTGGTACTTGCACTCGTTGCCGTGAGTATGAATACTGTTTGGAATCCACGCAGGTGCTGGAGCAGGTGAGTGTGCAAAAGGAAGCAAAGCCAGCGAGGCGTGTGAGGCAAGTCGTGAAATGCGTCTCAACAGCACACATTGATGTGTGATAGATGCGTCTAGAGTACCTTGTGTCGGTGTCTCTCCCTCTGTGTGCTCATTATATCATACCTTGCATATTTTTGGTCTCCGTTTTTTTTTTCTCCCTTCACCTTTTTTTTTTTCCTTGCTGGTGCCGTTGCTGTACTCCTTCGCGCTCCCGCCTTGTTCGCGCCGCGTGTATGATTGTCATGGTGCATTATAGTTGCTTACGGACCGACGAAGTGCCACCATGGGCGATCATGAGCTGTCGGAGTCGGAGAAGGCGATTGAGCGCTACAAGGTGAAGAAGCTTATTCAGATGCTTGAGTCCGCGCGTGGCATGGGCACCAGCGTTATTAGCATCTACATGACACCGAAGGAGCAGGTCTCCGGCATGGTGACGAAGCTTAATAACGAGTACGGTACCGCGTCGAACATCAAATCCCACACCAACAAGCTCAGTGTTCAAAGTGCCATCACCGCTTCGCTTGGGCGCCTGAAGCAGTATAACCGCCTTCCACGTAATGGACTTCTTCTCTACTGCGGCACCGTTCTCACCGCCGATAACAAGGAAAAGAAGCTTACACTGGACATTGAGCCCTTTAAGCCCGTTAGCCGAAGCTTGTACCTTTGTGACAACAAGTTTCACACTGAGGAGTTGCGCCGCATGTTGGAGTCTGATGATAAATTTGGCTTTATTGTAGTGGACGGTAGTGGTACGACGTATGCAACTCTATGCGGGAGCGTCAAGGATAAACTCGGTTCCTTCACTGTGGAGCTACCCAAGAAACACGGTCGCGGTGGTCAAAGTAAGAACCGTTTTGCTCGTATTCGCATGGAACGCCGTCACAACTACCTGCGTAAGGTGGCAGAGGGAGCCACACAGTACTTTATCACTAACGATCGCCCAAACATTGTGGGGCTTGTATTGGCGGGTTCTGCCGAGTTTAAGGAGGTGTTGTACCAGTCTGATCTCTTCGATCCACGCCTCAAGGCGGTGGTGCTAAAGGTGGTGGACGTGGCACACCCCGGGGACGTTGGTTTAAACCAGGCCATAGACCTTGCCGCCGATGCTCTTACAGGTGTGAAACTTGTGCAGGAGAAAAAGCTGTTGCAGAGCTTCTTTGACCAGATCGCCTGTGATACGCAACTATACTGTTTTGGCGTGAACGACACCATGAAGTGTCTAGAGGCAGGTGCGGTGGAGACTCTAATTGTGTACGAGGATCTGGACATGAACCGATACACAATAGTTAAGAACCGTGGGACACCCGAGGAGGAGGTTGACATCCGCATCATGACGGAAGCCGGCGCGGCGAAGGAGAACATCCACGCGCATGAGGCAGGAAAGTCGCAGAACGAGATTGAGGAGGAGAACTTTGTGGACTGGCTCGCGACAAACTACCAGAGATTTGGTTGCGTCCTGGAACTTGTCACAAACCGTAGCCAAGAGGGAACGCAGTTTGTTCGCGGTTTCGGTGGCATCGGTGGCATTCTTCGCTACAAGCTCGACCTCATCGCACTGCGGGAAGTGGAGAAGAAAGACGACGACGATGAACGTATTGCCGCGAATAACGAGGACTACGATTTTGATGACGACTTTATGTAAGTGGCTGCCACGTGAGACGCTTTCACGGCGACGTCAAGTTGGATGCGAAGCAACACCGTAACGAAAAAATTAGTCACGAGGTGCGGCGGAAGCAGAAGAAGAAGAAGAACGGTGGGCTGGGCAAAGTGACAAAAAGAACAAAAAAAGACGCCACATTGTTTGCTTGCATGAGCTGCACCTCGCACGTAACGCGATGATCTTTTTTTTTCGCTTTGCTCACACACTGGCGCCCCCACTCTGTGCTTGCAAACTCCTCCTGGCGTTTGACCGTCCCGGCGGCGGGGGATGTGGGACAGCAGCCATCAGCGCTTAACTTTGCTGCAAGTGCGGCGAGCAAAGGGCTTTAAGACACGAACACAATCCAAATGTGGAAGGATTATGGGACAATAATAATAATAATAATATCACGAAGAAACACAAAAAAAAAAAGGAGGAAAAAAATGTAGGGGACGCAAAGCGAGAAGACAGCACCAAACAGAATAAAACTTTGGGCATAAGACTAACGAGAACGGTGGCATGCTTGGACTGCACAAAAGCGAGGGAGGAAGAGACAGACGGACAGTCGGGGAAGGAGGAAAAGACAGGTGTTTTTGTGTAGCCATTGTCGTCACCCGTATTGCGGCCTCTCACTTCCCAGAAAAACTATCTGGTGTTGCGTTATTTAAAGAAAAACTTCAAACCAGAACACATAATAATAATAATAATAATTCGTTTCACCCTGTGTCTTGATCTATTTAGTGTTTACTTATTGTTAGCGATGGTTGATCGAGGTAAATGAGTAGGTGAGAAGACAAAGAAAGATGCATTCACACGTGCCAAGGCGTACGTTAGGGGCCGCCGCTCATGGGTGCAGCTTGGACGGGTGTGCCCTAAACAGCCCGGTGACACCCACCCTCAGTGCTTGTCAACAAAAAGACACGCGGCACATGAAACTTAGAAAACCCACCAGTTCTGACTTAGAATGCAAGAACTTTCGTCTGTTCTCCTTTCCCCATCACACCGAAGAGGCCTGTGCCCGCATGCTAACAGCGGTGAGAGAACCTATTGTTGTCTCCTGTACGTTGTGCCAGCTACATATCTTGTCCCCCCACCACCACCTGCTCGTCAGGCGGCATGCCCTCTGCTGGTTTGACCTTTGCACCTACAGTTAACGGACCAAACAAAAAGAAAAGAAACAAAATATTTACTACATAACGTAACATTACAATGCTGCCTTCACCATTTATTTAGGAGACCTTTACGTTTTCAGAGACAACACTAGAAAGCACAAAGTTGAATTTTATTTTAGTCGCGCAGGCGACTCCAAAGCGACACGAAGGAAAGCTGTGCCCCATGTGCTGTTTGACGCGTTGGCCCTCACGTTATTCTGCGCAGCTGCATGCACGGCGGCTTCCGAGGTGACGGTGAAGGTGAAGGAAAGTTGTTTTTTTTTTTAAAGGCTTTGCTGAGTGTGCTTGATAGCAGGGGAGGGGTCTACCATCCGTGCAATGCGGCGATCTGTGGTGCGGAGTTTTCTGCGTTGGCCGTCGAAAGGTGTGGGGATTTCTATTCTGCGGGTGACGAGGTGGTTGAAGCAATTACCAGCTTCAGCGTGCCGGGTGGAGTCATCCCCGCGGAAGGCTGGGAAGGGAGCCACAGAAAGGCAGGGGACGCAGACAGCCGTGAGGGCGGCGGCGAGCCGGACGGCACATCTTGGCGATGGAGTAACGTCCCGGCTCACTGCTGGCCCTGGCCCTTGAAGTGAATCTGCCGCATGCCA